CCCAAATTGAAAGTTTAAGAAATAATGTATTTTTTTCGTTTGGTTTGCGCATTCCCAAAATATGGCCACATCTCCTTGAAGGCCTAATTCTATGATGTCAATGGAGAAAATGTTCCCCATCAAATTTAACTTGGGGTCACCAAGCAAAAGAAATTTGTAACTTTGGTATTTAATAAAATACTGGCCCCTACAATTTGGAGATTTTCAGGAAAATCGTTTTCAAATTTTTTGATAATTGTTGCAATTTTTCTGGAAAGATTTAGGAAATTTCCTAGATTTAAGTGAAATATTTTCAATCCAATTTACTTTGAAGGACCTTTCTGGTTATCCTAAATAAAATATTTAAAATTTTAATTTTAATTATTTTGAATTGTTATCTTTTAAAGATTGTGTGATTACAATGGTTTCACATTTGAGTCATATTCTTGACAACTCTACTCCACTATCAGCTGGTTCTTCTTTTGTCTACAACTTTTAAATAGTAATGACGTATTCGGAATATTTGCTAAAGTCTTTTGTTGTTTTTTCTTTCTTTTTTTTTGTTATCTCTTCTATCAGCACTATTTCGCTTTACTTAACGAATTCTTCGCATATCTTATCATGGGAAAATATTGGAATTTCTTCAATTTATTTTGATTTTGTTTTTTTTATCATTGTTGCTGATATAGCTCTATTGTAATTTAATCAGCATTTAGTTTTTATTTCAATATTGCACAATATTTGGTGGTAACATATGGGAAAGAGGAAATGTTGGAAACCGAAACATTTTTTTTTCCAAAAATTTCATGATTACGGGGGGCTTTAAAAAGGGATTTAAAAAATGTTTTTTTCAAAAAAAATTAAATTATTTTTTCCTCCCTTAAAAATTCCTAAAATGCATAGAAAAAATAATTTTGAAAAATCTAAAAATTATTTTTTAATTCTTGAAAAAATTAGAATTTTGAAGGGCTTTAAAAAAAAAGTATTTTTTTATTAAGAATCTACCTTTGGAGGGCTTTGAAAAAGATCCCTTAAAAATAATTTAAAATGATATTTCCTAAAATATTCAAAAACCCGGAACTTGAAACCTCCCTCGAGTCTAATTTTAGTAAAAAGAATTTGTTTTCCTTTTGACATTTTGTTTTTCAATACTGTTGTTATTCCGAAATGCAAAAAAATGAGTGAAAACAACAAAAAAATTAGCCGAAAGACAAAAGTAAACAGCGCATAATAACATGGCTCAGAAGAGATTCTGGGCGGTAAATACCAGCGAGGTTGTGGCCCTATTGTGTGCCCAAAACACAGTCAACACCTTTTGGCTTTTGTACTGATTGGCCGCCTTTTTTTGTGTCCTACCTTATGCAAGTTGTTGATTTTAATAACACTTGACAGGTTTCTAAATTGTCAACACACAAAGCATTAGCATTTACAATAAGACTACGAATCACAATGCTTACAAAACAACAACAACAACAACAACAACAAAAATAATACAAAAACCGTACAAAAACAACATCTAAATTCTTATGGACTGCAAGTCCTCAAACCTCCCATCACCCCCACTTGGGTGTGGGTTGGGTTGTGTTATTTAAATGTTCTGGTTTGTTTTTCCTCTGTTCCGTTTCTGGGTTTTCACGTTCGTTGGCAGTTTTATGCAAAATGCCATTTAGGCATTAAGACGACACTATTTAACTCTCAGCCATTTGCCAATTTTCCCAACACCGCGCAGCCACCTTTAATAAGCTCCTGTTTCGTTCGCATCTACTTAGCATAAAATGTGGAATGATTCTGGAGGAGAGACTGGAGGAGGAGGAGTACAAGGTGTTATAAAATGGAAAAAATGGCCACACTGCACTTATAACCTTAGGCAACTTTTCTGTTCTCATTAAGTGTGGCGCTTAAAACCAGCAAAAAGCGCACACAATGATGAGGAATAGACTTTTCAAAAGAAGAACAAAAAAAAAAAAAAAAAAACAAGCGAACGCATTATTTTATGATTTCCAGCTAAAAACTCTGATGCACAGCGAAGGCATATAATTTTAAAGGAAAAAAGGTTTTTTATTTTGAGGAAGGAGGGAGAAGGGAGGGTATGAAGTGTCATCTAATGGATTTAATCCTTTGTAAATTTCATTATACGTCTTATACAAACTTCAACACAACCTGGGTATTTATGACATTTTGCGCATGTCCAAAAGGTGGTCATAACTCCTTGATGGCTTAATATTAGGTGATTGGTGTCAATGGGAAAAAGGTTCCCCATCGAATTTCACTATGGGTCCCCTCACACCTAAAAACCATATATGTATAATGTTACATGATAATATCCCACATGATTTTGATTTCTTAAAAATTTTGGTACATTTTAGCTTCACTTTGCGCATTCTCAAAAAGTGGCTAAATCTCCTTGAAGTCTTTACTTTAAGTGATTGGTGCCAATGGAAAAAATGTTCCGCATCGAATTTCATTATAAGTCTTCTCAATCGTAAAGCCTATATTTTTAATAAATATTAAAATAGCATAAGCTAAAGGTTTGGATTTTTTTAAATAATAAAAATTTTTGAGTTATTTCGCGCATTCCAAACAAGTGGCCAAATTTTCATGAAGAACTGATTTTAGGTGGTTGTTGTCAATGGAATAAATGTTCCTCATCGAATTTTACTAAAGGTCTCCTAACACATAAAATCTCTATTTAAAATATATTTCAAATAAAATCAGAAACAAATTGATTTTTTGAAAAGTGATATACATTTTTTGCACTACTTTGCGCATTCCGAAAAGGTGGCAATATTTTCTTGAAAACTGCATTTTAGGTGGTTGGTGTCAATGAAAGGAGTGTTCCAAATCGAATTTTAAATCAGGTTTCCAAATAAGATAATCCTGTATATCTGATATATAACAAAATAATATCCGTGACAAATTGTAACATTTGAAAAAATAATATAAATTTTTGCATGATTTTGTGCATTCCAACAAGGTGGCAATATTTATATGAAGACTCCATTTTAGAAAATTGGTGTCAATGGAATAAATGTTCTAAATCGAATTTAAATAGGGGTCTCTTAACACATTAAATCTCTATTTAAAATATATTTCAAATGAAATCAGAAACAAAATGATTTTTTGAAAAATAATATTTATTTTTTGCATAACTTTGCGCATTCCGAAAAGGTGGCAATATTTTCTTGAAAACCTCATTTTTGGTGGTTGGTGTCAATGAATGGAGTGCTCCAAATCGAATTTTAAATCAGATTTCCAAATAAGTCAATCCCGTATATCTGATATATAACAAAATAATATCAGTGTTAAATTGTAACATTTGAAAAAACAATATAACTTTTTGCCTGATTTTGTGCTTTCCGTAAAGGTAGCAACATTTCTTTGATGACTCCATTCTAGAAGGTTGGTGTCAATGGAAAAGTCGTTCGAAATCGAATTTTACTATGAGTCTCCGAACACACAAAAGCTGTATTTAATATATAAATCAAAATAATATCGATGACAAATCGGATTTTTGAAAATTATTATTTGTTTTCAAATTATTTTGCGCATTTGTATAACTTGCCTGAAATTCCTTGAAAACGTCATTTTTTAAGATGGGTGTCAATGGAAAAAATGTTCCAAATCGAATTTTACTATAAGTCTCGGAAGACACAAAATTTGTTCCTTTAATATATATCAACATATTGGGAAAATTTAATTTTTGAAAATTTTTATACATTTTTGTTGAACTTTGCGCATTTCGTAAAGGTGGCTACATTTCTATGAAGACTCCATATTAGAAGGTTGCTGTCAATGGAAGAAATGTTCTAAATCGAATTTCAATTAGGGTCTCCGAACACACAAAATCTATATTTATTATATAAATCAAAATAACATCGATGACAAATTGAATTTTTGAAAAATATTACTTATTATTAAATGATTTTGCGCATATGTTAAACTTGTCCGAAATTCCTTGAAAACTTCATTTTAGAAGCTAGGTGTCAATGAAAAATATGTTCCAAATAGAATTTAACTATCAGTCTCGGAAGACACAAAAATTGTACCTTTAATATATATCAAGATATTAGGAAAATTTTATTTTTGAAAATTTTTAAACATTTTTGTTGAACTTTGCGCATTTGGTAAAGGTGGCAACATTTTTATGAAGACTCCATTTTAGAAGGTTGGTGTCAATGGAAAAGTCGTTCGAAATCGAATTTCATTATGGGTCTCCGAACGCACAAAGTCGGTATATATTACATATAACAAAATAATATCGGTGACAAATTGAATTTTAGAAAAATATTATTTACTTTTAAATTATTTTGCGCATTCCAAATAAGTGGCCATTTTCCCGTAAGGATTTTATTTTAGGAAGTTGTTGTCAATGGAAGAAATATTCGAAATCGAATTTCATTGTGGGTCTCCAAATACATAAAATCAGTATTTTGTGTATATATCGAAATAAAATCAATGAAAAATTGGGGTTTTATATTTTTTCTAACATTTTCTACTCTTTAAAGGGTTAAATCTCCTTGGCTTCATTGTAGTCTTACAACTAAAAATTAAAATTATGACAAAAGCCGTATGCCTTTAAACATTATGACCATCTCTATTCAATTCATTTTGAATGCATAATAGTTCCTAGCCCCTAGGGTTGGGCTTGCGACATTATGGCCATTCAAAATGCAATGGCAGAGAATAGGAAATAAAAAAACCGCATAACTTTGTATATTCAATTTTCACGTTATTCTCTTAGATATTGCATTCTGTTTTTGTAAGCAACTAATTAAATTAAAGACAATTGTTAAAGGATTAAGAATTGAATGGAAGAGGCAGAAAAAAAGGGAGGATGAAAAGAACTAAAGAAAAAGAGAACAAAAACTATTTGCTTCTCTGAAAATAAGTTTTGTCTTATATCTTAGCCATAAAATCTTAAAATCCGCTTAGTATTGCATTCAGTTTTGGCCAAATTTAGAGATTTAAAAAACTTAGTTTTTTGACAATTAATTAATTTCTCCTTTGTTTAATTTTTCCAGGAACAATTGCGCCGCCGACGCGAAGAAGAGGAACGCATTGCCCAGCAGAATGAATTTTTGCGTGCCAGTTTACGTGGCTCTCGCAAGCTTAAAGCTTTGCAGGACAACAAACCGAGTGCCCAGCAACAGCAGCCGGTGGCAGCAGAACGGGCCGTAATTGGCGTGGAAAATGAGGCCTATGTTGAGGATGAGGATACGGAAAAGGTTACGGGTAAGTGAAAGAAATTCTCCATAATTTCCATGAAACTAATTTTGTTTCTTTCCCAGGTTATGGCGATTTAATTGCCGCCCTCACCCGTCTCCAGAATCAATTGACCAAAAATGGCATGACAACACTCGCAGGCCGAGTGTCGGCCGCCCACAATATTCTCTCGAATCCCGGAGTGGCCCATGCATTGGCCGCCCGTGCCGCGGTCTTACAACGTCGTCGCTCGAAGGCCACCACACCGGTGTCCACAAATGCCCTGGAATTGCAAAAGGATATTGTTGAGCTGCTGACGAAATCCAATTCAGCCGCCGCCATTGAATTGGGCAACCTGTTGACCAGTCATGAAATGGAAGGTCTGCTGCTGGCCCATGATCGTGTGGCCACCCACACCGATGGTACACCCTCACCATCGCTAAGCGGTATCGGCAGTCCACAACCTCTCTCACCCACCACCACTAGTGCGGCGGCTGCCACACCCTTACCACCTCCACCACCCGTGGTGCCACCACCACCTTTGGCCCAACGCAGTGCAATGCCTTTACCTCCCAATGTTCCGGCCCACAATGCCCCGGGCAGCAGTACCGGCTATGCCCATATGAAACCAACGTCGGGTCATCGTGCCGAATCGCCACCCATGAGCAGTGCCTGCTTCGGCATGCTCAACGATCAAAACGACAATATACGCATTATACAAATTGAAAAATCGACTGAACCGTTGGGCGCCACGGTGCGCAACGAAGGTGAGGCCGTGGTCATTGGACGCATTGTGCGCGGTGGAGCGGCCGAAAAATCGGGTCTCCTTCACGAAGGCGACGAAATACTCGAAGTCAATGGCCAGGAATTACGTGGCAAAACCGTCAACGATGTCTGTGCCATGCTGAGCACAATGCAGGGTACCCTGACATTTTTGATAGTGCCCGCCGGCAGTCCACCACCCGGTGGCGGCCATCATCGCGAAAACGCTGTGCTCCATGTCAGGGCCCATTTCGATTATGATCCGGAGGATGATTTGTATATACCGTGTCGGGAATTGGGTATTAGTTTTCAGAAGGGCGATGTCCTGCATGTGATATCGCGCGAAGATCCCAACTGGTGGCAGGCATATCGTGAGGGTGAAGAAGATCAAACGTTGGCCGGTTTAATACCTAGTCAGTCATTCCAACATCAAAGGGAGACCATGAAATTGGCCATTGCCGAGGAGGCGGGACTGCAGGGACGGAATCGTGGCAAAGATGGCGGTGCCAAGGGTTCGACGCTGTTGTGCGCGCGCAAGGGACGCAAGAAGAAGAAGAAAGCCAGCTCGGAAGCAGGGTAAGGAGAGGGGGAACGTCAATGGGATATTTTAATAAAAATATCAATTTTTAAAAAAATATTTTTAGAACATTCTCCGGGTTCGTGGATTTTTGAAACCAAAAATTCCAAATAACCTCAAAATTCGAGGATTTGTTTTAATATTTTCAAAATTTTCAAAGAGTCTGTGGATTTTTTGTAAATATTTTTCACTGAGTTCTCAAAGTCCACAGATTTTGTGGAAACTATTTTCAAACTCATCTCAAAGTTCAGAAAAAAGGTTTTTTAATATTTTCAAAATATCCTCAGAGTTTGGAGATTTTTCAAATAATTTTCAAAATATTATCAGAACTTCCGAATTTTTTGAAAAGATCTCCAGAATTTTTTTCAGTTTTTTTCAAAGCATTCTCAGACTTTTTTTAATTATTTTTTTTTAAATCCTCAAAATTGCGGATTTTTTTAAAAAGTATTTCCCATATTTTACATAAATTTTACAATTAATTTTCGTATTCCAAAGAAGTTTAGAGTTTTTTTTAAAAATATTTTTTAAATATCTTAGAACTCAAAAATATTAAAAAATTTATTTTTTCAAAAAATACCCCCAAGTTTTTGGTTAAAAAAAAATCAGAGCGTCCTCAGGCTTTGTGGCGAATTTTTAAAAATATTTTTTGAGGCTCCTTCCAGTAGCTTCTTGTTTTGTTTTTAAATATTTCCAACAACTCCTTTGAGTTTGTGCACTTTTTTTAATATTTGAAATGTAACCTCGAAGATTTTTTTTTTAGTATTTTTCAAAATCTTAAATATTTTCAAAGTTTCCAATAATTTTTCCTAGTTTGTTGTTGTTTTTATGTTAGTATTTCCAATTAATCCTTTGAGTTTGAGGATTTTTTTAATATTTCAAATGTATCCTCGGAGATTTTTCAAAATCTTAAATATTAAAATTTTTTTAAAGTTTTCAATATTTTTTTAAATTGTTTCAAAATATTTGAATTTTTTTTTTATATTTTCAAGCCCTCCCAGAGTTTTGTAGTTTTTTTTTTTTTTTTTTTTTGAAAATATTTTCAAAATAGCAACTTTTTTTCTTCATTTTTTTTTTTAAATAACACCAATCTCTAATCCAATTCGCTTTTCCTTGCAGTTACCCTCTCTATGCCACCACCGCCCCCGATGAAACCGAACCCGAGGAAATACTCACCTATGAAGAGGTTGCCTTGTACTATCCCCGAGCCACACACAAACGACCGATTGTCCTGATTGGCCCCCCAAATATTGGACGCCATGAATTGCGTCAACGTTTGATGGCGGATTCGGATCGTTTCTCAGCAGCAGTGCCACGTAAGTAAAACGAAATAAAATTTTATTTTTAATTTTGAAAATTTTGGAATGGGGTTCTAAAGTTTATTTTCCTTTCCAAATAAAAAAAAAAAAACATCAAAATTATTTCCAAATTTAGTTTTCTATTTGCTTGAGGAGCATGTCAAAGAAGAAGAGAGTAGGTACCACATACATTTTCTCTCAAAATTATTCTCTTAACGAGATTTGTAGGCTAGACTTTGGTTGCTAGAGATAGTTTGTTGTATTTTGAGCTTTCAAGCTTTTTTTTGTAGATTAGAGAGCTTTTGAAGAGGGAGTTTAATATCAGAAAAATTTGTAGTTTGGAAATTTCTATAGCCAACCAAAAGAATTTTGAAAAAAAATCGAAATTTTGGGGAAGAAATTTGAAGTTTTTTTTTTTTTTTTTTTTTTTTTTTTTTTTTTTTTTTTTTTTTTTTTTTTTGGGAGAGCGTTTTCAAACCTCTAAATTCTGTAACCAATCCAAAGCGATTTGAAAAAAATCAAAAATTTAGGGAACATTTTTGAAAATTTGGGGAGGGCGATGGAAAGGCACAACCTGGCTGGAAATTTCTATAATTAATCAAAAAAGTTTTGAAATAAAAATCGAAATTTTGGGAAAGAAATTTGAAGTTTTTTGGGGAGAGCATTTTCAAACCTCTAAATTCTGTAACCAATCAAAAGGGATTTGAAAAAATCGATAGTTTGGGGAGATTTTTTTAAATTTTCTTGGAGAAAGTTAATCATGTCTGGCGATTTTCTCGAATTTGCTCTTGTCAAAAGCTTGACTTTAAAAAAAAAGTTTTCAACTGGAAAAATACTTTGCAAAGTTTTCTGGGATCTGAGAATCACTTCATATCCAATTTTCATAGTTCTCACACATTTTCACAAATCATTTTGAAAACATCGAAAATTTTGTCAAATTTTTGGGTTTATTTTTTATTTCAATTTGTTGTTGTTGTTTATTTAATATCTTATTAATTTCCTTTTTCTATTTCCAGATACCTCCCGTGCCCGTCGCGACAACGAAGTTCCTGGCGTCGACTATCATTTTATTTCGCGTCAAGCCTTCGAAGCTGACATATTGGCTCGGCGCTTTGTTGAGCATGGTGAATATGAAAAAGCTTACTATGGTGAGTATTTTTGGAATATTGGGTGTTATAATAGAAGAGGGTTTTGGCTCGAATGAGGAGGTGGAATTATCAAAAAAAAAAAAAAAAAAAAAAATCTAAAAAAAAAACTTGGAGGAATTTTTAGAGATTTTAGACAAAAGACTAGAGATTATTTCTAATTTGAAAAAAAAATCTAGGCCTTCTGGCTCCATAGCAATAGAGGGTATACATCATTTGATTGGGGCCAAAAGTTGTCTCATCGAAGTAATGGTTTTAGACCCTAGATTCGTTCAGGACATTTGTAGTCGATCTAGGGGTGTCCGTCCGTCCGTCTCTCTGCCTGCATGGCTGGTGCTCCCGATAACTCTGGAAAGGAGTATCCAATTTGATCCAAAATTGGTACATCGTAATATTATTATAAAACTTAGGTCGTGTTCGGAGTTGGGCAATATCGGCCCACTTCTTCTGGTATCTCCCCCACAAAATGTCCAAATTTTCATAGAAAATAATTTGCCTCATAAAACAAAAAAGAATCACCCAATTTTGTTCAAACTTGGCAAATCATGATATTTTCATCCGTGCTATAGCAGGTGCGAAAATGGACCATATCGGGTTACTCCTACTTGTACCTCCCGCACAAAGGGTTAACTTTTTGAATAATTGAAATTCTTATAAAATGGGAAATAACAGTTCGATTGCGACCAAATTTCTCACAAGCCAATATTTCTACTAACACAAGATCTGCTATGAAGATGGGACATATCGGTCCACTCCTTATGGTACCTCCCCCACATAGGGGTCAAAATTTTGAATAACCAAAACGCTCTTAAAATGGGAAATAAGCATTCTAATATTTTTGAACTCGACACATCTCAATATTTTTATCAACACAAGATCTATTGTGAGGGTGGAACATATCGGTCCACTCCTTCTGGTACCTCCCCCACAAAGGGGTCAATATTTTGAATAAATATGAAGCTCATAAAATGCGAAATAAGCAGCCGATTACTTTTAAACTCGGCACATCTCAATATTTCTATCTGAACAAAATCTTGTGAGAAGATGGAATGTATCGACCTACTCCTTCTGACACCTCCCCCACAAGGGGGTCAAAATTTTGAATAATTATATTTCTTATAAAAGACGAAATAAGCATCTGATTATTTTAAAACTCGGCACATCTCAATATTTCTAACTGTACAAAATCTGATGACAAGATGGAATATATCGGTCAACTCCTATTGGTACCTCCCCCACAAAGGGGTCAATATTTTCAATAATTACATCTCTCATAAAATGCGAAATAAGCATCCGATTATTTTTAAACTCGGCACATCTCAATATTTCTATCTGCACATAATCTGGTGAGAAGATGGAATATATCCGCCAACTCCTATTGGTACCTCCCCCACAAAGGGGTCAAAATTTTGAATAATTATATCTCTCATAAAATGCGAAATAAGCATCCGATTGACTTCAAATTTTACACATCCAAATATTTTGACTAACGCAAGGTCTGTTGTAAAGGTGGAACATATCGGTTTATTCCTTCTGGTACCTCCCCCACAAAGGGGTCAAAATTTTGAATAATTATATCTCTCATAAAATGCGAATTGAGCATCCGATTATTTTTAAACTCGGCACATCTCAATATTTCTATCTGCACAAATTCTGGTGAGAATATGGAATACATCGGACCACCCCTTCTGGTACCTCCCCCACAAAGGGGTCAAGATTTTCAATAATTACAACTCTCATAAAATGCGAAATAAGCATCCGATTATTTTTAAACTCGGCACATCTCAATATTTCTATCTGCACAAATTCTGGTGAGAATATGGAATATATCGGACCACCCCTTCTGGTACCTCCCCCACAAAGGGGTCAAAATTTCGAATAATCATGAAGCTCATAAAATGCGAAATAATCATTCGATTGACTTCAATTTTTTCACATCCCAATATTTCTACTAAAGCAAGATCTGGTGTGAAGATGAAAGATATCGGCCCATCCCTTCTGGCACCTCCCCCACAAAGGGACAAAATTTTCAATACTTATATCTCTCATAACTGGCGGGCCAAGTCAGGGATTTTTGTTTTTTTTTTTTTTTTGAAACTTGGCATTTCTAAATATTTTTCCCAACCAGAGATCTGATTTGAATTTGGAATTTCTAATTAATTATTTATCTTTTTTTCATTTCAGGCACTTCCCTCGAAGCCATACGTACAGTTGTGGCCAGTGGTAAAATCTGTGTTCTTAATCTACATCCACAAAGCTTAAAGCTGCTAAGAGCATCCGATTTGAAACCCTATGTTGTGCTGGTGGCGCCACCTAGTCTAGATAAGTTGAGGCAAAAGAAATTGCGTAATGGTGAACCGTTTAAGGTGAGTTCTGCTATCCGGTTTTCCCTTGAGTTGAAATATGGGTTACAGGAATGCCAGTTGAGATTTTTTTAATTGATTTTTTTCTAATATTTTTTTTTCTTTTTTAATTTTTTCAGGAGGAAGAATTAAAGGATATTATTGCCACCGCCCGTGACATGGAGGCCCGCTGGGGCCATCTATTCGATATGATAATTATCAACAATGATACCGAAAGAGCTTATCATCAGCTATTGGCCGAAATCAATTCGCTGGAACGCGAGCCGCAATGGGTACCGGCCAGCTGGGTGCATAACAATCGAGACGAGTCATAATTATTGTTTTCTGTTTTAAGTGAATGTTGAAAAAAAATTGAATGGAAAAAAAATGAATATTTTGGAATTTTATTCTAAAACATATAGATATTTAAAAGAATTGTGTAAATATTAAAAAAAAACAAAAACAAATGAAAATGAGTTGGAGAAGGAATAATAATTTATATGTGAAAGAAAAAAAAAATCATTTATATGCAATATTATTTTTTTAAATTAATTAAATTTTTATTTTCTAAAATTTTATTTGTTAAATGTAGATATGTATTTCAATTATTATTATTATTTTTATTGTGTATGGCATCATATTATATAAATATTTTTTTCTTATTGTTTATGTAAAATATTTTTTTTATTTCTTAAAATTTATCACAAATTAATTTTTAAAAATCTAAAATTATTTTAAAATCTTATTTTCTAACAAAATTTGTTTGACAAATATCTTGCAAAGAAAGAAAAAAAAACAAACATGGACTCTTCCTTAAATTTCCACTTTTTATGTTGAAACCTAAAAAGCTATTGAAATTACAAAATTATTACTTTTCTTTGAAAAAAAAAACATTCCACTTTTTTAATTTTTAATCTTTAAAATTTTTTTGTTTTATATTTTTCTTTCGAAAAAATAAAAAAATAAAGAAAAATCTCTAAGCTAAACTAAAGATTTAAATAGAAACGTTAAATAAATCTACAGAAATTTACAAACAATGAAATGAATCTTGGGAGGGGAGGATCATTGGGGCTTAAAAAAATAAATAAAATAAAAAGAGAGAGAATTTCTTTCCGGAGTCCGGAAAAATAGTGAAAAGATTTTTTTTTATATAAAAAATATTGGATTTTTTATATTCAAAATCGTAATTCGAAGTTTCTTCCCCATTATCTTAAATCGAGAACACCTATTTTCCATAAGAAATAAAAATCTTAAAGGATCCCAAAAACTCGAATTTTTTGAAAATTTTTTTTCATAAATAAATATTTTTTTTATTTCCGGAGTCCTGAAAAATAGGAAAATTGAATTTTTTCAATTAAAAATCGAATTTCGAAATTTCTTCCCCATAATCTCAAAGTCCCAGCACCTATTTTCCCATAGAAAAAAAGTTAATCCTAAAGGAGCCCGAAAATCCGAAATTTATGGTTTTTTTTTTCATAAAAATATTATTCTTTTAAATCGTATTTCGATATTTTTTTTCATAAAGTCAGTCTTCCAAAATCTATTTTGCTATAGAAAAAATGAAACCTGAAGGACCCAAACAATTTTAAATTTTTGAAATTTGTTTTTTTAAATATTTCAAATTTTTAATTCAAGAAATTAACGATTTTTTCTTTAAAATTTTTGTTCAGGACTTGTTTCCCATAAATTTAGGTTAGGTAAATATCGTAAAGCACCCCCAAACTTTCGAAATTTTTTAAAAAATTTCTTCAAAAAAAAAAAATGTTTTTATTTTTTAACGATTTTTTATTGAAAATTGTGTTTCGGGACTAGCTTTTCGTAAACTTTTTTCCAAGACCTATTTTTCCATAGAAATAATATTTGGGACTTGATTCGCATCAACTTAGTTTCCCAAGAACTATTTTTTCAAAAAAAAAAATAAATAAATAAATAAATAAATAAATAAATAAAATAATAGTAATAATAATAATAATAATAATAATAATAATAATAATAATAATAATAATAATAATAATAATAATAATAATAATAATAATAATAATAATAATAATAATAATAATAATAATAATAATAATAATAATAATAATAATAATAATAATAATAATAATAATAATAATAATAAATAAATATATAAATAAATAAATAAAAAATAATAATAATAAAAAAAATTAAGAACCCCAAAAATTCGAATTTTTTGAATTATTTTTTACAACAAAAAATCTCTTTAAAATCGTATTTCGGTATTTATTTCCCAACTCAGTTTCCCAAGACCTATTTTCCCATAGAAAAAATAAATCCTGAAGGACCCCAAAAAAGGGAAATTTTTTGATTTTTTTATAAAAATTTTCTATTTTTTTCTATTCAGTAAATCAAAATGTATTTATTGAAAATCGTTGTTCGGCACTTGTTTCCCATTAACTTAGTTTCAAAAGAACAATTTTTAAAAAAAAAAAAAAAAAATTCTAAAGGACCCCAAAAATTCGAATTTTTGGATTTTATTTCTAAAAAATGTCTATATTTTTGATCAAGAAATTAAAATCTTAGTTCTGGACATGCTTTCCAAAAATTTTTTCACCAAGACCTATTTTTCAATAAAAAAACATAAATCCTGAAGGACCCCAAAAATACGAAATTTTTGATTTTTTTTCAAATTTGGAATTTGAAGTTCGTAACGGATACCAAAATTAAAAAAAAATTGTCTGTGCAGGTCCACGACTTCATATAGCCCCCATATAACGGTACCTCCCGATATTTGGTACTTTGATGATTTTATCGACATTATTCACCGGAATTGTTTCAGATTTGGTATTTGAAGTTCGTAATGGGTACTACAGCCTAAGACAAAAAATTGTCTGTGCAGGTCCACGTCTTCATATAGCTCCCGTTTAACGGTACCACCCCACATTCGGTATTTTGATGATTTTAGGTACATTATTATTTTTTTCGGTGGAATTTGCTTATTCGGTGGAGGGTATTCAAAGTTCGGCCCGGCCGAATTTACAGATTTTTTACCTGTTTTTCTTTTTTAAATTGTATATTTTTTTTTAATTCAGTAAACTAAAAATTTTTTATTTAAAATCATGATTCGAGATTTTTTTCTCAAAAACTTAGTTTCCCAAGACCTATTTTCAAAAAAAAAAAAAATCATAAAGGACCCCAGAAATATTTGATTTTTTTTAACAAAATTTTTTTATTTTTTTCTATTCAGAAAATCAAAGATGTATTTATTGAGTATCCCAAGACCCATTTTTCAAAAATAAATAAATAAAAAAAAAATAAAATAAAAGTTTAAAAGACCCCAAAAATTCGAATTTTTTGAATTTTTTTCAACACCTATTTTTCCATAAAAAATAAATGCGAAATTTTGGATTTTTTTTAAATGTCTACTTATTTTCAATTCAGTAAATCAAAGAGTTTTTATTTAAAACCATGGTACGAGACTTGTTTTTCTCATAAACTTAGTTTTCTTAATTAAGAAAAAAAATCATAAAGGACCCCAAAATATGGCCAATTTTTCAATTTTTGAACAATAAAAAATTCTATTTTTTTTTCTATTCAAAAAAATTAAAAAAATAAAATTCCAAGAAATTAAAAATTTACAAAATTCGAAATTTTTCAATAACATTTTTTTCTAAGAAAAACTGAAGGATACTACAAATCAGGAATTTTTGGGAAACAATTTCTTCTATTTTTATTATTTTCTATTTTTTATTAATTTATATAAATTAAAAAAAAAATCCAAGAAATTAAAAATTTACAAAATTTGAAATTTTTCAATAACACTTTTTTCCTAAGAAGAAACTGAAGGATAACTAAAATCAGCAAAAATGCCCGGAAACAATTTGTTCTATTTTTAATTTCTATTTTTCTATTCAGGAGATTAAAGAAACCTTCCCAGGTCCAGTTTTTTTTTCATAAAAAAAACCAAATCCTGAAATATTCTAAAAATCAGAAATTTTTAAAAAAATATTTTCCAAAGGTAAACTTTAGTTTTCTGTAGCTATGTTGTTCACTTTAGACTCTGTAGCTGCGGAACTGACAATTTATTTTTTCTTATGGCCAACAATGTTCCTCCCCTCCCCTATAGCTGTTAATTTCACGAAAAAAACCTAACCTAGAAAATAAGCCAAGAAAATAATTTAACAATAATAAAAATAAAGAGGGGAATCCCCTTGGGACTCTAATCAAGATTTGAGGAGACAAAAGAAAAAAACAAATAAAATTTAGTTAAAACAAAAATTGACAACCCATTTACTTTATTGTAAAACCAACAACATCATAAAATGTATGTTAAGTCTACAAAAAATAAAAATAATTTATAAAAAAAAAATAAAACGAAAAAACTAACATTCCAATCCTTGTAATGTTTTCATACCTAGGAACAAACAAAAAAAACAAATGTTGTATTCTCAAAACTAAAAGAGAATTGAAAACCACTCTAAAAAACAAAAAATGGAAACTAATCCTCGAAAATTAAATAAAACGAAAATTTATATAAAAAAAACTAAAGCAAACAACAACAATCTTCCACACTTGTTAAAACAAATATCGTGTAACCCTGCCCCCGCCCCCCGAAGGAAAAAAAAAAAATAAAATTATTATTTTGTTAACAAAGAAAGAAAAAAAATGGTTTTAAAAATAACAACAATGTTAAAATTCTGTTATTAAACAAAAAAAAAAATATTTTATATACCAAACAAAAAATTAAACAAATAAAAATATTTTTGTTTTTCAAAATATTATTCAAAATATATATATATTTTTTTGAAAATTATATTTTTTTTGATTTGATTTGTAGTTAACGAAAACAAAAGAAAAAATAGCGAAGAAATACGATTGGTTTTTGTAAAAGAACAACAACAACAATGCAAATGTTCGAGATGTAATAACTTAACAAACAACAACAAATGAAAACATATTAGAATTTAGCAATGTAACTGAGAAATGGTAACAAATTCCAAGAAGAAGAAAAAGAGAATAACGAAAAAAATTAAAAAAAAAAAACAAAAAATAATAATTATTGTATTAAATATGTTAAATTATTTTTAGTTGTAAATCTATTACAAAACAAAAACAACAACAACAACAAAAGAATGAAAATAATAAACAAAAATGAAATAAAAAAACAACGAAAATGCTTTTATTTTTCAAAGGGATTTTTTTGGGGAATATTTTTCCTAAGTTTTTTTAAAGAATTTTTTTAAGAATTTTTTTTTATATTTTTTTATGCAATTTTTAAAATAATTTTGAGCTCATGGACATTTCAAATAATAAACAAAAATGAAATAAAAAAAACAATGAAAATGCCTTTATTTTTCAAATGGATTTTTTTGGAATATTTTTTTCTAAGTTTTTTTTAAAGAAATTTTTTAAGTATTTTTTTATATTTTTTATATAATTTTTAAAATAACTTTGATCTCGTGGACATTTCAAATAATAAACAAAAATGAAATAAAAACAATGAGATTTCCTTTATTTTTCAAATGGATTTTTTTATGAATATTTTTTTTAGGTTTGTAAAGAAATTTTTAAGGATATTTTTTATTTTTTTATGCAATTTTTAAAATAATTTTGAGCTCGTGGACATTTTAAATAATAAACAAAAATTAAATAAAAAACAATGAAAATGCATTTATTTTTCAAATGAATTTTTTAAAAATTTTTTTTTCTAAGTTTTATTTAAAGAAATTTTTTAAGGATTTTTTTTTTATTTTTTTTTTATTTAATTTTTAAAATAATTTTGAGCTCGTGGACATTTCAAATAATAAACAAAAATGAAATAAAAAACAATGAAAATGCCTTTATTTTTCAAATGGATTTTTTTATAAATATGTTTTTCTAAGTTTTTTTTAAAGAAATTTTTTAAGGATTTTTTTTATATTTTTTATATAATTTTTAAAATAATTTTAAGCTCGTGGACATTTTATAATTTTTTTGTAGGACTATTGGTTCTCGATATTTTTAGAAATACTTTTTTTCAAGGACTGCTACAGGTCTTGAATTTTTAAAAAATGTCTGAAGTATTTTTTCCCTTAAAAAACAATTTTTCGAAAATTATTAAAGCTGCTGTACATTTTCTAATATTCTAAAGACTAT